GTATTCAAGTCTTTATATTACATATTTGTTATGCACATGCATGTTCAGCCTCTCAAATATTAAAGAGACCCTTCATGCGTTAAGGTTTAACCTTTCCTGTAGTGTGTTATAAAGTTTATTGTGCATGCAAATGTTCACACCAGAGGGAATTTATTCCACACACACACTCTCTCTCCTTCCCCCCCCCCCCCTGCCTGAAACGCTTCGATGGACTCCTTTGTTTACTTTCTTAACATAATCCTATCACACTTGATCCTATTTGCTAGATCTCCACACAACATTTGCTTGGTAGGGTGGTACTTCGTTGGGTTACAGGTAAAATCGTGAGACTACACAAGCACCAATACATTTATGTTGTTTGAATTACTAAATAAATAACTATACCGGTATATCAATTACTTGCTTAGATGATTTAGGTGATCAAGCCAAAATGACAGACTCTGCTTTTCAATAAAGGATTTGCTATTTATTGCTTTTGTCATTATTGTAATGGGGTCTGTTGTTTGAATGCATCACCCTGGGCTCCGGGAAATGACGGCTGGTATCTCATATTTTCTAGATAATGATTAATAAATATATAAGTATTAAAGCTTTACACTATCCTCATCCTTTGGACAACATATATTCACGGGCTTCTTTTATTTAAAGGAAAGCTCCAGTCATTAGTTAATAAAAACTTTAGTATTTAGTGAAACATTATGTTTAAACCATACCCTGAAGAAATCAGCGATATTCCCCGGTAAATAATGATTTTATAGCTCTTTTTTATCAAAACCTGTATATTCCGTCAGGCAGTTGCCATTTTGGCCATTTTCAGTAGTCACATGATCCGAAAAACTAGGTCGTGACGTCATCTATGCGTTCACTTTGTAAACACGACAGCTCATTCGACGAAAACATGGCAGAGTATTTGAGTTCGGACTCGTCAGCCGAGGAAGAAGTTTTGAGCAATGTGGAGAGATTGGATGGGGGAATTCAGCCATACAGGTTCGAGCCAAGTGGCCAGAACCGTCAGGAATCCAGGGACAGTGACGATGAGGATGAACAGCACGGTGATTGTCCCTTTACTCGTGCAATTGATTTCGGGGGCGAGTAGGGAGACCTGTACATGAATGGTGTACTTGCGATCGGTGTGTAGCCATGGACAATCCTCTTATGAACATATGTTGTCATGAGCTTGAAGAGCTTGAAAATAAACTGTTCACAGACGACTTGGATTGCATATGTTTACACAGGGAATTTGACACTGTGGTGTTAGAAAAAGCTGTATTGAGAACAGCACTGGTTGCCATGAAGGATGTGAAACGCACCTCTTTGGTTGAACCAATAAGTAAAAGGTGGGTAAATGCGACGGGTACAGCCCTTTCTTCTTAGCATTATATACTTTACAACCTGTCATTTACAGGAGTATTTGTGTATCGACCATATTCACTAAGAAGTTTATGGTTGTTAATTCTAAAGCGTGTCAAATGGATTCTGTCTACAATTACATGGCAAGGACATGAAGGACAATGACAGATAATTTTCAAAACCAAAACTTTACTTAGTATAGCCATGATAAAAGAAATCAAAAAGCATATCTACAGAATGCACTCTTTATAGAACAATGTATGCTAGGAGTCCTAACATAATAATGGTACAATGTAGTTGAATAAATTCCATAGTAGTTAATCAATCAAATAAAGAAAGCATTCCGGAGCATTCACGGAGCGCACGTGCACACGGAGCATTCCGTGGATTGTTCCTATCCGAATTGTGGCAATGTTTCGCGATACATTGAGGCACATTTCAATAGAATTGTGAGAGTAACTAGAGTAAACAACATGAACAAAGCACATACGTCAATTTGTCCTCGACACCAAACGCATAGTTCACGTCACTTCCGGTAAAATAAGTCATGTGACTCGTCAAAATGGCGCCGCCCACAGGGTTGATGTTATTTCGGTAATTAATCAGCTTAAAATCACTGATAACGTCATCGGAGTAAAAAAAAAAAAGACTGGCAGAGACTGGTCTGTTTTATCGGATGATAATTATTTAAAAATGCGTGTCATGAGGATTCCCTCCCTTTAAAGCTAAATAAATCATTTAAATATGATTATTGCATTAAGCTTAACAGGGCTGGTGGATGGAAATACATTGTTTATTTGACAGCAACAAATGCATCCAAAATGAATTTTAAAGCATTATTTTTAGGTTATATGATGAAACCTGAGCCAGATTGTTGATATAACATTGAGATGCTCATTAAATATTTTTTAGATAATTTCCAAGGTTGGACGTTACACTTTCATGTTCAAAAGTTAGACGTTGTTATTGTCATATTCTGTCAGATTTAATGTCATGTAATCTCAGTATTTCAACCTTTTTGATATGCATCAATATTATTTCGCCTTATTTAACGCCTGGCATCCGCTTTATCAAAGGACAGTATAAAATGTTAAAAAAAAAAGGATCTTAACACATTCTAATCCAAAGCAATGAATTGTGATGTATTAGCCATGTCATGTGTCGGGTGAGGTAAATCCAATCAGAAAGCTACCACTGCAGAAGCAGCTGTCATCACAGTATACAGTAACACACGCAGACTGAAGACGATGACAGTGCCTCAGATTGTGTTTTTGCAGGTAGCTGGTATAACTCTGTGACGTTAATCTGTTGTTTACCACAAGCCAGTGCAAACACATTAAAGCCACGCGAGGGAATAGATTCTTCAGAAAGCAAATAGAATTCAGTCTGCGGTGCGAAGGGCAAACTCAGCCGATTCAATTCATTCTGCTTGATAAAAACGGACAGAGTGATGAATGAACACACCCCGAAGGTATTAAGCAGTAAAAGATGCAAGGTGATTTTTACATCATAAGCATATCTCGATATGCATTGCATGCTGTTCCATATAAAAGCCTGCACTCGCCTGGAAGAGCAAGGACCGGAATAAACCGTACTGCTCGCTTCATCTCTTCTCTTGGTTGGAATCTCATTTGCTCATTGAGTGTGCATGTGATGTTTACTCCAGTGTCACATGAAATAACCATAGTGTCTTCAAGGAAAAGGACAATATGTTTTTAACCCACCAGCGAAATTAAGAATTTCAAGTAGATCTGTTAGTTTACTTGCCTATAAAGTAAGTATCTTCACTGAAAATAATATGTGCTTTAAATGTTCTTAATTGTTGTGGTCTAAAAGCACTGCTAAGTCGTTGCTTTATCAATTATTTATTTAAATAAAAGCAGTTTTGTCATAATAGCACATGTATGACATTGGTTTCCAAACTGCGTGACAAAAAACATTACATGCTGTTAAATTCACTGCAATTATGCCAAAGCGAAAGCATCACATTTCATTAGAAAAAAGCGGCTTGGCACGCAATGTTCCAGGTGCTCAGTCCCCAATACAGTCTCAGAAGTATAGATCTGAGCTGAACAATACAACTCATATCAGACAGAAACCCTGCAGCTACTTGTTTGTCTTAGAAGGGAAAGCTTTTGCAGCAGAATTTGCCATATGGAGGAAAGAGATGCCCTGAAACCACATTTGGTTATTTTTAAGTGTCAGACCTCTAGCCATCCTGTCGATTATGTTGGTCTGTTCAGAATAAAAAGGAGAGGGATTTGGCAATTGCACCAAGTAAGCTCAATAAACCTTCTTAAGACAAACCCATCTGTAGCCTACAAAGATATCAAGCAACTAAATGCAAATTAAAATCGAGTGATCATGTGCTTTGATGTTCAAGATGGCAATGGCCAAATCATCAAAATCAATGCTTTAAAACAGTAGTCAACAAACCAATTGGTGACATCACAATGATGACATCCACATCTGATATAGGGTGTGAACCCTTCTTCAAATGTCACACCGCTTTGTACTGTGTCTTCAAATAGACTGACTTTCTCTCAGCACCCCCAACACCTACTGACATCCCTTATAAAAAATATGAAGTTCTGCTCCTGAAGACCTGAAACTACTACTACTGCCAGAGAGTATACGAAACATTAGGTGAGGTCTTAGAGTGCATTCACGATGAAAGGTTCATAAATTAAAAAGAAAGTAGCTATGTTCCAGATAAAGGGTTGAGTCTGCTTTATGTCCCTTAAAGTTATGTATTATTAATCTGCGGCATTATGATTTTCTGCATATGAAGCAGGCTAGGGTGTCCGCTAAGTGCCTATTGATAGGTCGCCAACTGCATCCAGTAATTGTTAGTAAGCAGTAAGTACTTGGCAGGTACTGACCGCTCTGGATTCTGATTTTCTTAATTTGTTTGGATACTTATGCACAGAAGGGAGCACATGCACCATAATTATCTCGAAAACACAAGAATATAGACAGAAAACAGAAAGAACAAGTGTTGTATTTACTGTACAGAACATTTAACATTTTCAACATTCCACATTGTCTTATGTATGGTCCAAGGAGCGTCAATAGCTTCCCACAGAACAATTAACAAAGCTATAAAACTACAGAACGACAATGTGAACTTTACTGCCTCCATTAGGGACGCATGTTTGCATTTATAGTCAAACAATATGAGATAGTAAACATCTCATAATACTATGTGATCATCAAAATGTTTTATATAAACTCCAACGTCATGCAGGTCAGCAACTCACTATCTTCAATGTTCATAATATTTGCTAGTTAAAAAATATGGATGGTTGTACATGTATACTGAGTGAATATAAAGAGGGAGAAAAACAGTGGACCCTGATTGCTCGCTTGAATCACTTGTCTCATTCAAATCAGCTAAACCTGCTGATTGTAGGGTTCCATTTCAAATGCTTAATACTGGCCATTATGTATTGGATTATTTAGTGAATGAGCAAATCAAGATAATTTGCCAATATTTTTAAAAATGCAATTATTACATGCATTCACTGAAACAGAATCTCATTGAACGCATTAAAGAGATGAGGGGGAAATCCAACAATAGGGTTGGCAAATGAGCACATGACTTTGTGAATGTTAAACCTTTTGTGTTTGTTTCAGATCAAGCTTTTTACCTTGATGGCAGTGGAGGCGATCTGGATGTGGTGCAGCTTGTGGAGGGTGCTCTCCCGGTCGATGAAGTAGGAGGCCGCCAGCTGGTGCAGAGCCTCCAGAGTCACAGCTGTGCTGTTCGATTCGCTCACTTCAGACGTCCGACTCAACTTCCGCTTGTCCACAAAGATCATTAATGACTCTTCCCCTATGAATACACACACAGTCAAATAAGCACACTTCATTAATGACTCATCCCCTGTGAACATGCATAAAGTGGTGTACTGGTAAACATTAACCCATTAAAACCTGCCAACGTTAATTATACAGTCCCATAGGCAAGTTAGCCCTGTCTGACGGTCGTACTGTATACTGTGTTCTACATTGTGTTAATTTGGTGATTCCTCTGCAGCTAGAGTGCAATTGAGATGCTTCATGGAACAAGTCTCTCAATGCTAACTGAGCAGAATGTATTGGCAAACAGTAGACAGCCTGAGATCAATGTTAGATCCTTTCTAACAGCATGAGGTTTTATGGGGATTTTAATTGTGAGAGGCTTTAGAGTGAACATACAGTACATTACCACTGGGGATAGATATAACATTGCATTGTTTTCCACAATAATTTGAAAGACAATCTCAAATATAATAACTAACTTTTTTCTATGAGTGAGTCTTCAAAACTTTTAACAACAATGTTTTTCCAATCATAATGAAGTTACAATAGTAATAATTGTATTGTAATAATATTGTTCATTTAAAAACCTTTGTTATAAATATGAAACATTTTAAATTAATCAGACGTCCAACTCAAGTTGAATGATTAATAATTATTACCAGGCACCACTTCTTTCAACACATAACAATGTTTGAAAAAGCTTTATTAATCACCTTTAATAGCACCATGATCCTAAGATAAAACATTTAAAAATATAAACTCTATATCCATTAACACTGCCTACTGGTCATGTTGGAGGTTATATAAGGCCATGCTTCCGCGGCTTTACTTCTCTCTATTTGTTTGCAACACATGACGTACAGGATGGTCTTGCCAATCTATTTTAAATATGGTTGGTATATATCATGGTTCACTAGAGACAAAGATGAAAAGAGCCAGCAGAGAAGTTGGGAGGAAATAGATAACCACGGGAGCTCTGCAGCACAAAGTCTGGCCAAATTACATCTATTGTTATGGAATCAGGGGATCGACTAACATTCTTGTTTAACAACTCCAAATATAGATTTTACATCTTGAGTCAGATATTATGAGCCCAAAAACACAGGCTCAACAAACAATCCGACAGTCACAGCTGAGACCACTCTTTGGCAAATATTTAGCTGTTTGAGCATTCAAGCTTCCAAACTTCCAACAAATAGATCATAGATCATAGATCTTTCTGGTAATTAATCACCATTTCAAAAAGCTCAATGTCTATAGTAAATATACCAAAAGTAAGATCTGAGACAAGGTCCAAAATATAGATAAAATGATCAATATTCAAATAGGTTAAGGATAAATAGATGCAGGAATAAATACATTCCGAACAAAAAAAAAGAAGTGACTTTAGCCATTTCCTAATTGGGGTTCAGTTTAGTAGTTATTAGCTTGGTTCTTGAATTTGAATTTACTGCAACATGAATATGAAGTTGAAAGAAAGGTTTGGATAGAAGATGTCCAGAGGTCTCCTTTGATGGCCACTCCTACAATCAACACCACACATTTGATTTAAAAAGTAAACTTTCATTTGCTTGTAACCTGATATTATTACGTTTATTTTCACACATTTTAGCAGTTTTCCATTATTTGTTTGTAATAATAACTTTATTTGTCTTTGAGTTACCGTGAACGTTGGAGGAGGTTGCTTCATGTTTCAGAAAAAGGCGTGGGTGAGGGCTAAATTGGAAAAAAAACATGCTTCCATATGAAAGGGGGGATTTTGGTTTTGTCAGTGTCCTTTTGTATTTTGTTAATTTTAATCAATCAATGTTTATTTATATAGCCCAATATCACAAATGTTACATTTGTCTTAGTGGACTTTACAGTTTGTACTGAATATCAGTATGACAATACGACACCCTCTGTCCTTTGACCCTCACATCGTACAAGGAAAAACTTCCAGAGAAAAACCCACAGTTTAAAAGGAAAATGGGAGAAACCTCAGGAAGAGCAACAGAGGAGGGATCCCTCTCCCAGGACGGACAGACGTGCAATAGATGCCGTGTGTAAATCAAAGAGATAATACATTTTACAGCGTAGGTAGACCGAATGTTTGGAAATGCATATGTCTATAATAAGAAGATGAATCCACGAGGATGTCAACAATCCTGTGGGAGCCATCAGGGATGTAGTATGATGAGAGTCAGGCAGGACCACAGAGACCCCTTGTTTACTATTTGGTTTAGTCATATGTTCCATATGCGTCATTGTGGCAGGTAAGTTTGTTCAGTTAACACCTGTTAAGATGCTTTTACATTTATTCAAGTTATTTTCTGTTTACCTCTTTTATAGGCCTAGTCATTAAAGATTCTTGGTTTATAATGTGTTTTTTTTTGTTGGGTAAATACAAACAAAAAAAGTTTCTTTAAACATCTCGTGTACTGTTGCCTTTCTGCTTGAGTCCCAGACATCTCCTTAGTATAAACAATGGTATACACAGTATGGCAACATTGATTTTAATTGACTATTGAATTTAGACCCTGGTTCCTCAAGTTGAAATACACGTAAAGTTAATCAAATCATTAAAAAGGTTCCTGGAAGTTATCCGGTTACGGATGGGCCACATGTCCATCCTGGCTTTAGGCCACATGGCTTTCTGCATCACGTAAAGGTTGGTCAATTAAGAAAACAACAAACAATCAAAGAGAACAACAAGCTGTTTATTTACCTCCCAGTGTAGCAGAGAGCAGGAAGTGGGTTCCGTATTTCCTGATAATGTTGTCAGTGATGGAGCTGAGACTGGGCCTTCTGCCCAACTGCCTAATGGTCTGGAGGAACTCGGGGTCCAGTGGCAAGGAAAAGCCATTGTTCTCTTGTCTCTCCAGGGCCAAGCTGTTCACCTTCCAGCGGCCAAATTCCCTGCAATATCACAAAAACACATGCTAAGAATGAGCACACAAAACATGAAAGCTGCATGCAGGCACAGAAACCACATCCAAATGGACAATGGAAAAACAAAATTTGCACCAAGGGTCACTGAATAATTGTTTTCTGCTTCTTGATTTTGTAAAATTGGTGGTCTATTGGGATTTTGAAGTGGACAAGTATTTAGTTTTATATCCACAAACTATCTACAATACAATCTACAGTTACAACATATTACAACCTTTGTCCTTAGTCCTTTACAGAGGTTATGGAAAAACTCTGGGAAATCTGCACAAACTCAAAGTGAAACTTATGTACTTGACTTAGAACATAAATAGGTTTCTGTTTTACCACAGCGCCTAATATGGCCACATAAGAGGAAAAAGTGATTGTGCTATTTTTTTTAATTGGTGGAGAAACAACGTTTTTGTCAGTGATGTAAAGCAATTGTCAAGGCTGGATGGCGAAATACCATAGGGATTGAAATTGTGGACGATTACGCTACATTAATAAACCCATACCAATATACAGTAAGCTGCATATAAGTGTATTTAAGTATTAAAACGATATGTTATGGTCCTTTGTCTACTGCTTTTTATTATACTTAGTATCTGGACTTCAAGTTAAGGTTTTTACTGATGACAGGTCTCATGCCATTTGTACTTCCGGCTCTGAGAATTGCTTTGCAACATAGCGGAAAACATTGTGTTACTCCAGCAATTTTAAATAATTGCGCAATCTTTTTTCATCTTGAGACACAAATGGAGACGCTGTTGCTGGACGGGCTATAATCACGGATGGAGTCATGCTGTTTTCAGGGCCTTTTTGGTAGGAAAAGGCTTAATCTGAAGTCGTTTGATATTCAGCCTGGCCTTGGAGCATGCCAGCTTCCTTTATCTACCAATTGCAGGCAGAGTTTTGCTGCTTGATGCATTGATTATTGCTATGCAAATGCAGCTGTCAATGAATATGGTTCTACTGGCACCTAGCAGGGGAGAAATTGAAGACCTTTCAATCACTTTTTGGTTGTTGGTGGGAAAAGGAGAATAATCTATCATGGATGTGAGTTTGGATGTGTTTTTGCTTTGTGAAGCTGTGAAAGCATGCCATGTTAGGTCAAAGCAAAGGCTGAAACACAAATGCTCTCTCCTCAATATTTTTACATCTACCCTCATGTTTGGAATGACGTGTTAGAAAATACTGAAGGATGCAGTTACCTTTTCTTTTTAGTCCTGTGACCAAAAACTTAACAAAAACATGTTCGGATTGAATACAGAAAGAAGTAAATTCGATGTTAACTGAACAATAGCTATGAATTTGAGCAAAAAAAGACAATGAAACAATTGGTTCAGACTTGATAACAGTCATTTTAAAGAGAATCAACTAATTATTAATTAAATTCATTCAACACTCGTCCATTCAAACATTCATTTATAATACGCTTGATTTGATTATACATAGATACAGTCTGGTAGATAAGTTAGAGTGTAGAAATGGCAAAGAAAAGTGTATATCCCGAGCTCCTCCAACAATGCAACATAGTTGTATAAGACATAAACAATAAAACAAATACAAAAATAAAACGGAAAAATAAAAAGGAAGTGTGCAAGAAGTATTTATACACGTAAAATATAATATGATAAATAAAAGAACAGAATGTTAAATTAAATATTGTGCAGTAAGATTAAATTAAACATGGTTTATTACAGTGATAACTATTTAGATAAATAAATTGTAAGATGGCAACAGCTGTCCCTGAGTCTGGTGTTTTTTGCCAGACGGCAGCAGACAGAACAGTTACTGTATAAGTGAGACAAAGAAAATTAGTCAGGTGTTAATCTATGTTTGACGTTACAATCTATATCACATCCAACCTGATTCAATCTATTTTTGGACACTAATGAGATCACTTCTTTTTGAAATGTTTGACTACTGTGAAACTATTAGTGCTAACAAAGGATAACGTGTTGCCAAACAAGAAATAATGCAGACATGGCTTCATTTGGAGTTTCTGTCTACTGAATGAGTGATTGATGTGTAAACTCTGGTTTGGTCTTCACCAACTTCTGAGAAATATATCTGGCCTTTTTTTCCTAAATGTTCCACTTCTTTTAGCAGTTAATTTTGTCTGTCTGCTGTTTGTTGTTGGGCAGGTAGCTTACAGGGGATTTATCTGGGCTTGTTTGCTGAACACAGCTGTCTGCTGCTGCTGCAAACAGGATTGATGAGGACACTGAGACAGAACAATACAGTGCTCGCGCTGTAGGAAAAAAAACAACAACAATGAGCTAAAAGAAGCACAAAAAAACTATTTCAGTGTGGCGGTGTGTGTTAATGTTGTTTGTGTGTGTGTGTGTGTGTGTGTGTGTGTGTGTGTGTGTGTGTGTGTGTGTGTGTGTGTGTGTGTGTGTGTGTGTGTGTGTGTGTGTGTATTTTACCCAATTATAATAATACAACTATATATGACAATCATATACAAATTATAAATACATTTATAAGCCAACCAACCTACCAACCAGTATTACTAAAAAAGCTAAATATATATTTTATCTCGGTTCACTGGCTGTCCTCAGGTCATGACATGAGGTGATTAATGTAATCACATTTGGGCATTTCTCCTCTGTTATGTGTGCAAAAAAAGGTTGTTTTTATATTATATGGAGACATTCTCTTTTTTCAGAGTATTGTATTTGGGAGCATGAGGTGAGAGGTGATATAATGTAGTTCTGACTCCTATTATAAAGGGAGCATCCTCCTCATCTGTCTGCTGTTATAGTTGATTTATTTCAATATGTGGAACCGCCTCTCTTTCAGTTTTTTGATAACCAGCAGGTTGAGGAGACTCTTGGTTCAGCTCCTGGGAGGTTATGGCTTTGTGATGATTGATTCTTTAAAAGTTTAATATGAGGGAGTATTGGCCAAGTTTTGCTCTTCAGGCATTGTATGTTTTATCTTGCTGGACATGCAGGATGTTCTATTTTTCACCAAGTTTCACTGCCATAGAGACGTCTAATCTCTAAAATAGGATATTGTTTTTTAATTGAAATGTCCAATTTCATATTTCTTCTAATTGCATAGACATGTCTTCTTGCTATTTTCTCTTTGATCTTGAGTGGCCAAGGTGAAGCTTTCTTTATACATGTCTCTTTCTAATGCATGCAACCCCCAACACGGCCAGACACACACCAACCCCCTCATGAAAGACACTTGCCCACACACATGCACATTCACACACCCTGCAGCTGCAAACATCTAAACAAAGCTGCCCTTGCTGCAACAACTTTTCTTTCTCCCAGAATATCGCAGAGCCCCCTTTGGGAGCTGGCCAGGTGCCAATCAATTTCTCACCAATAACAATGACCCCCAGAGAAAAATACAAAGCAGAAAACAGCTCATTAAGGCCTATTTCATGTCTGGATTTCTCGATAACGAGCGGCCATTAGTGTTTCCCTCCGTCCGCCGGGGCTGGCTGAAGAAGGGAGCAGCGCAGAGATGAAGAGGGAGAACTTAACTGTGATCGACACACTGCCTCGCTGTGCTGCTCCCTGATGGACATTTATGAACGGTTCTACAGCTGCACTGGAGGATACAGCACCCACACACATACAGATCTGTGGATGAAGCCCTCCATTTTGCCTCACCTCCTGCATTCTACGCACATACACACTATGGCTACACAATACAGTACTGGAAATCTTTGTTCTTATCCCCATCGAGATGACCACTTCGCAAATTCATAACACTTATCTTTAGTTAGTTGCAAAAAGGGACACAGTTCAAATGTTCACTCAACAATTTAACTATCATCTGTTTTTTTTTCTTCAAGCCTTTTGGGTTTCAGTTCAATGTTGAATGAAATGAATAATTTTGCTGTATTTTTGCATTATATTCAAACCAGCAGCATGCACTGAATACACTTCTTTATCTTCTTATACATCTCAAATATTATAGTTATTGGTATGTTAATGTTGAACATTTAATATTATAAGATTTTACATATTTTACACCCCTCACACACAACACAACAATGGATGTGCCTGTTTATTTCACCCTGAACTCCTCTCAGTGAGATGCCGATAGACTGAAATAGTCATAATAATAATCAGACACACGCAGCTTTTTTTCACCCGTAGCCCGGTGCAGCAGGGGGCTCGCTGCACATCTACCTGTCAGCCCCCCCTCCGAGCGAGCGGGAACGCCGTGCAGCAGGATGTGAGGAGCTGCAGGAGCTTACAGGGGCAGCGATCAGAGCGTTGGAATGGTACGCTACTACCTGTCCATCACAGTCTATGTGTCTCAGATCCATCAGAGCGTAAAGGCTGCCTGAGGGTGCAGCTTGGTAACAAACCAATTCATAACAAATCAGGGAATCAAGCCGGCGGATAACCTGATGAAGTCGAAACACGCTACCATGCATAGCAATCCAGGTTGTGGTAGAGCACAGTGTGGGACTGAGCAGGCTATGGGAGAGTGTGCTACTGCTAATGTTATCTCCAAGGTTGAGGAAATCGGGAAATGATCGTTCAAAACATTTTAATTAAAAAGAGTGCACAAGCAAAATCAATTTTACGGCAGCAATAGAAAAATATAACTTATCTTATAGCAGCCTTTTGTCATTTAGTTCCAACATTTTAGAGGATAATAAACAGAATGTATAACATTGTTTTCCTCATGTGTTTAAGCACCTCCTTTTGAATGTTCTACTGTAACAATGTGATACTGTATGTCACATGAACAATAACACTGGTCCTGCCCTACATACACTATTGTTTAGATCACCCTTGATGTCATTATTCTTTGTGAATAATACCTAAGGGAGCGTCTATAAAAAGGCCTTCTGCAGGGTGAGAGGCTGACCCCCTGGTAATAAAATGCCCACAAGCTATATTGCTTCTGTTTTACAATGCAGTTACATTATAGAAAAGCACACAGGACCAAACCATGTATTTCAGACTTGAGGCAAAATAGTATGAGGGAAAAGTAACGTATGGTCAATTTAAAATTCCTTTAGAGAGATGTTCACTCTCTTCACGAAACAGACACAGGTCGGTTCTTTAAAATGGGCGTTTATTCTTGGCGTTTAACCTAGCCTCCCTTCTTCCGTTACGCCGTGAGAACTACAACAAGAACAACATATACATAGTCAAATACATTAGCATAGTGTACACATACAAATATACAAATGAAAATAGGACATGACGCCCACATGAAAACGTAAAACAAATACCTCGTTGGCCGCTTGTCCTGAATAACTTTGTCACAATGATAACTTTATGTTGCGGACTGCAGCAGAGCTTCAATAAAGTATGAGGGGCCGTACAGGCCGTAATTCATACTGGTCCTCTCACGCACATACATTCTCCTTATACATACAGTACATACATTTTCACTCTCACACACATTCATATATTGTCACTCACACATTCATGCATTTTGTTCTCATATTCATATATTTTAATGCTCATATTTATAAATGTTTCTCTCATGCACATTCATTCAATGTTTACATTTAATATTATAAATAACATATGCATGTATGAAGACAATATATGTATGCAAGAGAAGAATGCATGTATGTGTGAGAGAAAGTATAGTGGAAAAGGAAGGAGTATGGTTGAAACTGAAGGCAGGTAATTCTCGCGCTGTGATTGGCTCAGAAGGTCGAGCGGGGCGGGCTCATGTTCAGAACTTCGGATTCAAATCAACATGATGGAGGGAGATGAATCCGTGTATCTTCGGACCATTTGTTTTTCTTTATTAAAAAAGTGAACGGAAGAGCGTCTGCGAGGCGTTTTTGCTTTTTACCTTAATAAATGGTCTAATGTTCATTGGAGCGAGGGGCGCGAAACTCGCAGAAGTGATTTATAAACAAAAAGCACTCGTTTGCTTGGAACGGTGAAAATATTATAAACAAGGTGAATTTAGCGATCACAACGAGAACGGCCAAAACACACATTGAGGCCAGAAAATGAATGTTATTAAGGACTGTAAATATAATAAGCCTATGTCTAAAATGGACAACATTGTCAGGAGATTTAAACTATGCAGCGATTCTGCACTGCGGTAACTCAGCCGTCTCTCGAGTTTGTTTTTTCAAATCAGCTGCTCTTCATTTATTTTTTACAAACATTTTTTACGGCAAGTTTTTAATAAAACTGTCACTGTTGGACTCTGTACTAGGTTGACTGCTACCAAAAATAAACTGAATTACTTTTACTTTGTACTTTTTTAGTAATCCTCTGTCAAAGTCCCCTCCTGATTACATAATGCATGTTTTCTGCTGTCTTTGATGAGTAATAACAAGAGAATTTCACCATT